ACTGTCAGCAATCAGGAGTGGCCTTTTTTTTTCCTCCCCTACAGGTATGCAGCCATTCTGAGCAGACAAACCCAGGGCTGCGGAACGTGTTTCCCTGAGCTGATAGTTGCCATGAGAACAAGCTGTTTAAAAAAACGCCTCCCTGGCAGGAGCTCTTCAAACGAGTGGCTACAGGACTTGCCCTCCTAGAGAACAGTTTGATTTTCTCACTGAGCCTAACAGGGATTTGGAGACTCTGAGTATTTATCTCAAGCAAAAGCAGCATGAAACCACCTGAGGGATCAGAAGAGGCCAAACCCAATTGACAGGATCCATCAGCAGGGTACAGAGAGCTCCTTCTTTTCTCATTTGACGAAGAACACGTGTTTAATGTGTGCACAGTAAAACCTCTACCCTTACTGGAAGCTGTGACTTGTCACTATGATCAGAATATGTTCTTATAAAAATAAAAATAGCAAGACAAATAATATCTATCAATACAAATACAAAAATATAGGCATATAAACACATGGGCACAAATACACTCTCAAAAAGCTTTACAGACATGAACAAAATAAACCATCTCATCTCCCTCTGTGCTATGAAACCATCCACTCTGTTTCTACCAGGTGTGGGATTTTTTGGAGCAGGAATTTTCCATGTGGCCTACGGGAAGGTGCCCTCTGAATAGCTCTCAGCCCCCTCCTTCGGCACGAACCCGTGCAGGCCTGCAGCCCACACGGCAAGCATCCAGCACGTACTTGGTTCCTCTGAAGCCTGAGACAGGTTTAGTCGATTTGGTTTTGGCAGTGGTCTCTGTTACTTACTGCTGCTGCCTGCAGAAACCTGACTTTTGGAACACAACCTCTCGCCAGTTAGACATTTGGCTCTTATTAATGGTTTCCAGCCCCATCATACCTTGCTGAGATTTACCAACTAGATAACAGGTTAAAGGAAGTGTAAAAATATATCCAATGCCTTGCCTTCACCCACAGGGGCTGGGTGTTCCAACTGATCCTCTCTTCCCACACAATTTTTAATCACGCTGCAAGAAAAGCCATTTTATTTTCCTACCTCAGGTACTTTACTCCCTGATGGGTATTATCATTACAGTTCTGGATTGAGAGGGAAGTCAAAAGTTTAAAGCTATTTCTGTTTCTAGGGCAACAGAGACAATAATGAGGTATTTCTGCAAGTATACACACACCACAGCCAGTTTCAAGTATCTGCCAAATATTTACATCGCTCCCGGTTATTTAAGTGTTTGAGTTCTTCATGATCTTCTATGTATTTTCCTCATACTAATCTATTCAAACATCATATAAATGACAAACATTGGGAAATTAAATGATGCCTTAGACCCCTGGATAAAAATGGGTTGTCCTGCATTTTTGTCTTGTAATTTCTTTCAAAATTGAAGCCTAACATGACCTTATTTCTCATCTCTTTTGCTGCAGAAAGTGGGACACTCATGTGCATTTGTCTTCACCAGACCACATTCCCTCTACCCTGGAAAAATAGCAGGTTTGAGAAAGTTGAGAGTGTTGCGCTCTGCTCTTATCTACCCTCTTAAATGTCAAACAGCTGTGCGTGCATGTGCTGGGACCTGCCTTTTCAGCGCATAAACATTCTTGTCTCTGAATCTGTTGGCACATTCATGAATATGTGGCAATACGAGGTTTATGAGGATTGAAAAAAAAAGATTAATGATGGGCTATAAAAGCAAGAAAGTTGGGAGTTGGATCTTAGGCAGCCATTCAACAGTCACTTCTGTACCAGCTGCAGATCTGTTCTTGTTATCACTGCTTCTTCCCACAGTGAACTCCAAGGGCAAAAGAGTAAACTTTGTGTTTGAACTGAAGAGATTCAGACATCTGACGCCTGTGGCGTTCACCAGAGAAAAACCTACAAAGCTATGATCTTAAGAGGGCCCATGAAATGATCAGCAGGATGGGGTGGCCATAGCTTTGATGAGCAAGAGAAGAGATGGAGACGGACCATGTGCATCAGGAGAGTCAAGAAGCACATTTCACTGACAGAAGCAGAGGTAGAGGGACGAATTGTCAGAAGGGGCAAACACAAAGATTTAAAAGGCAATTTCAGGATAATTCTATGGACTTTGCTCATTCATCCTTGGAAGCTTCCGTGGAACTGCAGGCACCAATGATGCAGGTTAAAATGCTCACAAAGTTCACTGAATCGTAATTCCATTTGCAAATTTAGCAGGATGTGAGAAGAGTGAAGTATACGCCAGTGTCACTCACGAGCAATAAAAATGTCAGGGCAACTAATAAAAATACCCTGAAACAATACAAACACTTTGATAAAGCCGTAGGGACTAGTAAAGCAGAGTAGATAAAGGGAAAGCAGAACTCAGCCAGGAGCTTGGGCGTGGGCTGTTTCCACCAGTCTGCTGGATGACTTCACATTAATAACTGTCTCCCCTGCCCTCAGATAAGGTGCAGATAAAGGAAATTCCCTTTGTTGAGCATTCCTTGCATTTCATTTAGGGAGAAGTTAACCCTACAATAAATGATGTTTATTGTAGTGGAAGATTAAAAGCCCTAAACGGTGATAAAAGCACCTTCTTTCTAGAGCAAATACTTTGCCATGCCAAAGGCTTTCCCAAGCATTTAGGTACACGTTATCACCTCAAGAGAGTCCCAACAAAGCCAAACACATGCAGCCATTGCAGTAAAAGAGAGTTGGGAAGTTAAAAGAAAACTAAAACCTTTCTGGAAACTTAAGATGCAGTTTCAGTGAAAATGCTGCATAAGGGACTGACTGGATCCTAGAAGCTTAGGATGTATTCGGCAGTATAAATGAGAATAAATAGTTACGTCATTTGACAGCATCTCCCAACCTTTTCCTCTTCTGACACTTCCTGATGTACTTCCAAACTGCCATGAAGAATTGCAATTCATTCCCTGGGAAATGCTTCCCTGTGTGTTGAAGCCAACCTTACCTGCTTGCAGGACATGACCAATGTGCTAACGGTATAATAGGTTATTGCTGCTTCTACTCAAGGGATTTCGGTGGGAATGCAGAGCCTTCAGACCCCAGTTTTCATGAACTGGATCATAAAATATTATGCAGCATCATAAACATGCATTTTATTTTGTAAAACCCCAAAATACACTGCTCTGAGGCCCTGACATGGGGGTCTAGGGAATGATGGAGTATGTAGAGGGAAGGATGCTCCTCTCTCCTTGCAGCAGGAGACAAATCAGAATACACTGGCATTTGCTCTCCTTTAGGCTTCTTGCATTTCTGCTCAGTGAAGAAAAGCACATGGACTTATGTTCTTTTTGCCCTAACTATGGACTGCAATATTTAACAAAAAAATAACTGTTCTTCTGTAGCTTGCTTCCTGTCTGCAGGCAGACTGTAACTGTCTGACACTATTATTTCACCTGTTCACAGGACCTGGAGCAGTTACCTGCTGGGCAGGTTTTTCCGACCCAGGACTGAACAGGACATTCAGATCAACAGGAGAAACGACCAGCGAGCCTTTGGCAGGTAGAAGTGTCCCCCATATCCCTTCGGAAAGGCTGTACAGCTTACTCTGCAAGCTGGAGACTTGTGTGAATGCCGCAGTCTCTGCAGACAGAAAAGAACTCAGCTGACCTGCCCCTTGGCTATGGCATCCCAGCCAGGTAACGTATGGTGCGTGTTGTATGTATCAAGTGATGTATTCCGTACCTGAGGCATGGCAGAATTTCTCCTTCTGATGCAGCCCCATAATGACATCCAGCCCACTGGGACTGTTGATACAGGTGTCTTGGCCAGCGTCCAGTTCACATATTTGTTCTTTCCCCCTCCCTGCGTTTGCCCTGCAGTGTGACATTGTCTCTGTGCAAAGCGAGCGCAGCACTGATGTGTGGTCTAACATACCTGATGCATTTTTATGGGCATAGAAAGACCTGACAGGCCCTCGCACAGAGAATGCATCTCTTTTGCCTTGTCTCACCTTAATGAGGTGTGAGATGGACTTCTCATTGAGACATCACCGCACACATTTTGTGCTCCAATGGGTTCTGTTCAGTGGAAGCCCTTATAACCCTTAGAACCTCTGCCCAGACCTGGTTGCTGCCCGAAAGCTGCTCATGCTGGTAGGCCAGCTGCCCCCCCACCTCTGTGAAACAGTGCTGCTGGGGAGTCCCAGAGGCTCGAGGCAAGTGAGGGGTGGCAAGTGAAAGAAAGAGAACGGAAGGAAAATGTGAGCATGCGTGCGTAAGGCAGGGATGCTCATGGAGGAGCTTGCAGTAACAAAAGCAACAGGGAAGTTTAATGCTTATCTCTGCTACAAATACAGCTATGGTTCCTCAAAAAGGATTCCTGTTTCTTTGGGAAACCAGACTGTCACAGTTCTCTGTCAGACCTTCTCTTCTACTGTCAGCCCTAAAGAAACTGCAAAGAAACAGTGAAAATGATACTTCTGAAAGAAAGATTTTTCTCAAGGGCAATATGGGAAATAGCAGGCTGGGAAAGCAGGTTTTGTCCACACATATTGTTCACCATTTGGGCTCTTTTCAAGCTCTGTTATCAGCCTACCAATTACTAACTTTATCAGTCTGTGTTAAAATTCTTTCCTGAGATCACACACAGAAAGTCGTGGTGTGACTCGGCCGCAGCGTTGGCTGCAGCAGGGCTGTGCACTCCCAGCCCTTTTGTTTCCATGTAGGTAAACTCTAACTAGATGGATAAATGCTCCCCTCAGCAGGGCGACGCCTCCGAATCCCTCCTTTTGCTTCAAGAGGCAATGGTCAGGCGGACGGAATCAGCTCCTGTGCGAGGGCACTGGGGAAAGAAACACAGCCCACTTCATAGCCACTGACCAATAAGAGGAATTGCCGTGTTGGCAGAGGGCTTAAGGCTGATAAATTCCACGGGTCTCAGATAACACATTCTGGAGCCAACTCCCATTGTCCCAGGCATAAAAGAGCAGGGGTGTGGGACGGAGCACACACTCCTGCCTCAGGATAATAAGCTGCAGCTCAGGTTAGGTCCCTGTGTTCACCATGGCCAGTTACAGCTTCAGGCAAGTCACCTCTTCTGTGGCAGGGGGACCTGGAGGCTCCTCCATCCGTTTTGGTGGAGGTTCCTTTAGGGCTCCGAGCATCCATGGGGGATCTGGTGGCAGAGGTGTGTCCGTCTCCTCTGCTAGGTTTGTCTCTTCTGGCCTAGGAAGTGAGCTGGGTGGTGGATATAGAAGTGGTTTTAGCAGCAGCTTTAGTGGTGGTTATGGTGGTGGTTTGGGTAGCGGTGATGGCCTCCTCTCTGGAAACGAAAAGGCAACCATGCAAAGCCTGAATGAACGCCTCGCGTCTTACCTGGACAAAGTGCGTGCACTGGAAGAGGCAAACTCTGATCTCGAAACTAAAATCCGAGCCTGGTACCAAAAACAAGGACCAAGCCCAGCGCGGGACTACAGTCCTTACTACAAGACTATTGAGGATCTTCGGGACAAGGTAGGTGTTAGCATTTATTAAACATCAGCTTAGATTTGCACTTCAGAAGCCTAAAAAGCCAGGGAGAAAAGCTCACTAGGAAAATACCCAGAAGGCACTGCAGTTATGAAAAGGAGAGGAAGGTGAAGTGAATATGCAGTGATGGGGCGGGGTGGATAAAGAAAATTGTCAGTATGGAATCATCTACGTTTTTAATGTTAGCTAAGAGAATGCACAGTCAGTCTGGCTTAGTACTTAACTCTCTGATAATGTTTGCTTACAAACACACACGTATATACACACACACTGGTCACCTACATGTATATGACCAGTTAATCTAGATGTGACCCTATAGATGCTAACACATGTAAAGAGAGCCAAACAATGGCAGCAGCCTGCCTGTCTCTGTAGGCTGTTACCTGCCATATAGCTTGAAACAGTTCTGTCACAGACACTCTGCTTTAACAGCAAAAATAAAAACTGGTTGAGTGCAATGTTGTAAACGTGAGGACAGCAGCTCAAGCTCCCATCACCATACGTTCATTTTTCTTTCACATTTCACTTACTGGAGCCTGGAATTGAAATCAGAATGTGGAAACATTTGGCTTATGGAGGAGGGAAGGAGCAGACATGAAGTAACCAATCCTGTGTATAAATGTAGGATTTGCCCCAGCAGCTCATGGGTACCTGATAACAGATTACTTTGAGATGATACAGACCCCGGAAAATGCAGGCAGTGGCTGATTGTGTAAATAAATGAAAGAAAAGTTTAGGTTTAGTTTTGACAGTTCAGCTCAGGGTTCATGACCGCTCCCACACACTTCACTTGCTCCTACCTTCAACCCATTCACATTCTCTACCGATTTCAAGAACTGAGCTCCACTAAAGGCAGAACTGGCAATTACATGTCCTCCTTTTAGTATTCTTTCCCCTCCTGTCTTTTACTCCCCTTAGTTAGAGGACAGAAAATGTTTTGGCTGGTTTTGTGCTGTCCTTTTGAGTTGTAAAAGTGGCAGGAAAAAAGACATGGTTTCTAGGTAAAAATTAACAGGGATTACTTCTAAATAAACAAAATTTCTTTTAGGGGCTTTCATGATGCATTAGAAGAATAAATAAACACTACCCTGGACATTCTAGGAAATAAAACTGTGTTCAAAGACTGTACAAATGCAATACACACCCCTGTTTGCAAAACGCAAACATGTCATGTATTTAAAATCATACAGACCTTGTAATCACTTCCCACTGAAGAAACGTGCAACGAGAACAAATTCTGCCAGGAGGGGCCTCCAGGAAATGGGTTTCTTGCTTCAGTCCTAAAACACCACCTACCCCCTGGCTCACCGAAATCCTCCCCCTCTAACACAGCCCGTCGCTCGTCTCTCTGTGGGACTTCCAGGTAAAAGCCACTCCCCGCGGCAGCCAAGTAAAAGGCCATCTCCAGAATGGACAGCCCGGGCAAAGTACGGTGATGAATGTGTGCTGCCTATCTGCTGTAGATCACACACACTTTCCTAGAAACCAAACAAAATACACTTTTATCAGGTGCAGCCACAGATGAACTAGAACCTTAACTCTTTGATCTTCAGACCAGGGCAGCAGATAACCTGTTTGTTCCAGCCTCAGCAACAAACTCTCATTTTTTGTAGATCCTTGATGCCACTATCGACAACTCAAAGATTGTCCTGCAGATCGACAATGCCAGGCTGGCTGCTGACGACTTCAGAACCAAGTGAGTAATTTCTGAAAGGAAAAGGGTCTCTCGAGCAGGCAAAGCCCCTTAAGCCAAAGGGCAGAGGCTGTGAAAAAAGACAGGAGTGCCTCTAAACCAGCTGTGTGAACACTAGTTAGATCCTGTTGTCGCAGTTCAGCCCTGCATGTAATTGCTGAAAGCACCAGTTGCACCCTGGACGATTTTATGTCATGTAAAATCTGTGGAGAAAAGCTTCATGCTGGACATTAGCTATATCATAAATCCTACAAAACCAGATACATTTAAAGCAAATAATGTGTTCCATGGTGGGCTCACTTAATCAGCTAAGCTGAATAGGTTTGGGTTGCTTTTTTAAGGTTTGAGACGGAGCAGGCTCTTCGCATGAGCGTGGAGGCCGACATCAACGGCCTGCGCAAGGTCCTGGATGAGCTGACCCTGGCTAGAACTGACCTGGAGCTGCAGATTGAAAACTTAAATGAGGAGCTGGCTTATCTCAAGAAAAACCACGAGGAGGTAAAAAATCCCCAAGAAACATGTTTTAAAGTGACACCAGAAAAACAACATGTGGAAATGTGGAGTCCCTTGGGATTGCCCTGGGCACTCCAACAGTGAAGATTTCTGTGTAGATACCCCCTGCAGGTATCTAAGGGGGCTCAGTCAGACCTGGGCCCTTGCAGAATCATGTTTTCAGTCTATGATTGTACCCTCTTTTGTCTTCCTCTGCCATGTCCACACAGGAAAAGAGTGCCCTGGGAGGGCAATTAGCTGGCCAGGTCAGTGTTGAACTGGACTCTGCTCCAGGCATTGACCTGTCCAAGATCCTGGCTGACATGAGAGACCAGTATGAACACATGGCTGAGAAGAACAGGAAGGATGCTGAGGCCTGGTTCCACAGCAAGGTAGAAAAAACTCTGTACTATACAAATACTAAACAAAAAAATTGGTGATAGAACCAAAATAATTATTAAAACACACCATGAAAGACTTAGGACCTCTACCTAGAGGCCCCGTATTTCTCATGTGGCTTTTTCCCTGTTCCAGACTGAAGAGCTGAACCATGAAGTAGCTGTCAATACTGAACAACTGCAGAGCAGCAAGTCTGAAGTCACCGACCTGCGACGCAGCCTCCAAGGGCTGGAAATAGAACTTCAGTCCCAGCTCAGCATGGTATGTGACCACGTGCACTGCCTGGTCCCCCCCCACTGTAATGGGTGCCTGTGCCCCTCCTGCAAGGAGTCCTGCACCTGGCAGCAACAGTGCTGTGGTTCCCCTCTGGCAGAAAGCGGCGCTGGAAAGCACGCTGGCAGACGTGGAAGCGCGGTACGGCGCCCAGCTGGCACAGACCCAGGGCCTCATTGGCAGCATCGAGGCGCAGCTGGTTGAGCTCCGAGCCGACATGGAGCGGCAGAACAGCGAGTACAAGATCCTCATGGATATCAAGACTCGACTGGAGCAAGAGATCAACACTTACCGACAACTCCTGGAAGGCCAGGAGTCCCAGTAAGTACCAGCTCGCTGCAGAAACCATTTTTGCTTGGCCTCATAAAGTTTGACCATGCCACGGTGCTCGTTTGCCACAGCACCACCGTAAACACAACTTCAGCTACTCCTGGGGTTCTAAAATTGTCACCCAATTAATTTTTCTGGACCATGGTAAAGCTAGAAATGTTACAACTCCCATTTACATGGAGTACCTCAAAGAGTTTCTAAAGAAAAAGGCAAACAGACAGGCAGTACAAGAGATTAAATGCAATTAAGGTTAAAGTGGTAACTAACCATTAGCTGCTGGACATTCAGGAAGCACAGTGCAGTTAGTAATGCCTTACAGAATGTAAGGATTAACACCAAATTACCATAAACGTCCTGTTACCAGTTAAATAGCTCTTGCCTCACAGGAATCGGTGTAGAAGAAAGTATTTTGCAGAGAAGTAAAGGCAGACAAGGCAGCTGTTTCAGGCAGCCGTTAAGAGGATGGGAGCACATGGGAGCACAGCTACCTGTCGTTTCACATACAGCCTCAAGGAGGAAAATAACTCATAGCCTAGAACAAAAAATGAGGTGGAAGTTGAATGGTTTGGATCTCTTCTACTCCTTCTTCTCCATAATTGTCTTTTGCCATGGCAGCTGTTTAAAAATGTATTTCCTACAACAATTCCTTCTCCTGAGCTGAGAGGGGGAGCAAGGAGATGACCATCCCTTCTCTGAGTATATCCATACAATCAGAATGGTTTGGGTTGGAAGGGACCTTAAAGCCCATCCAGTTCCAACCCTGCTGCCATGGGCAGGGACACCTTCCACTAGACCAGGTTGCTCCAAGCCTCATCCAGCCTGGCCTTGGACACTCCCAGGGATGGGGCATCCACAAAATGTACCTGGTTGATAATTTGCTTCCATACATCCTCATCTCACACAGCACTTGATGTGTTACTTCTCCTTTCAACTGTTCTCTCTTTGTTCTACAGGATGTTTGGCTCCCTCGCTGGAACTGCTGGTAAGAATTCCTTCTCTTTCAGGAAACCTTTAGGAGTCAATGAAGTTTTCTTTCTAAAAGGCAGTTTACGGACATTATGGCAGTTGTGTCTTGGGCTGCCGCACTGCTTTCTGTCACAGCAATAAATCGAATAATTAACGAATGATGACTCTGGCTAGAATTCAACAGATTTCAGTCATTTAGGGATGTTAGACATCAGGAAAAAATCTCAGACGATGCTCCAGTAAAGGCTCAGTAAAGCTCAAAAAGCTTAATCATTCCCCCAGATGAAAGGATACAAGTAATTTAAGCTCAGGGGAACTGTATGAACATGCAGGTAAAGCTTGGCTCAAACTTTTAAAGGTCAGCTGTAGTGTAGAAGTGATGAATGACTCAAACCAGTGCTATGAAGAAGAAAACTTCTGAGAAAAGGGAATGAGAGACAAGACATAAGCTACGCTCAGCGCCCATCGTGTGGCGGTCTCCTGTGTGTGCTGTTCAAGTAACCACTCTTCTTTTCGCCATGTTATTGCAGACAGAAGAGACAAGCTGGCAGATGGAAAATAGTACTGAAAGTTCTCCAAATGTCATCTTCAAAATGAGAAAAAGCAGACAACACACAGGAACTGAAACGAAGAGGAATCACTAAACTGCTGGAAATCACTATGTTAAAGCACAGAAAACTCTTGGCCACACAAAGTTTAGGAAGATTCATCCATTTAGTGGTGATTAATTTGCAAATTAAGTTAGCTTTTCAATCATTTCGTCTTCTTTCATGTACTGAATTGCTGTCTCTATGCTAATAAAGATGATCATCTTCTTGCAATCTTAACGTCTTTGAGGTGACTGTGATATCGTTACGGAAGTTTGCCTTCCATCAGGCAGGAAACATCCAGCCAGCCCCCTCGGCAGCTTAGTGCCCATAGTGCCTGTGGGTGGCTCGAGCTCCACCTCCCATTCCTCTGGCTCCTCTGGCTGGCAGGAGCTCTGCGTAGGGAGGCGGCAGCACCCTCAGCCCCTCAGAGTGGGGAATACAAGAGTGACTTCTGCTTCTAACGCCAATGGCTGTGCACTCTGAACAGCAGTAACAGCGAGAAGTGAAGTAACCCTGGGAGCTGGGGGACGGTTTGTTAGGGAACAATATAGAGCTGTAAAAATGGCTTGAAGATAACTCTGACAGAAAGAAACAGGAGTAAGAAGCACTTGGGAGATTTCTTCTCTCACTTTCCCAGCTCAGACAGAGGTAAAGAACCTTTAGCACCAGTTTTGGCCACCTTCATTCTCATGCCATTGAAGGGATATTGTCCTAGCTGAACTTCTAATCACCTTTAGTTCAGGCCCCAGAAATCAGCAATTTCACTTCCAACCACCCCTCTGCAAGCTTACAGCCAAAGAAACTTGTCAGGGTTTGTGCTAAAAGAAAATCATGGCGATAACCTACCACATTCCCACCTCCCACTATCCCAAAGCTCATCAACAGGGTGAACTGGCGGTATGCCCAGACTCAAGCACCCCAATACTGCACTCCCGCAGGGTGGATCATCTTGCAGTTTCAGGGACACATCATCATATCCATCGATACCTCTCTCCCTGGACTTGGGAGGGAACAACTATTTCACTCTTGTCTCTAACTAGTTTACAGATGAATGGAGTGTTTGCACAGCAAGGAGCATCCCAGAGCTATGGGCCTCCTCTCTCACGGTTGGGCAACCCTCCTCAGTCAAGAGGCGCTGGTGCTTGGTTTGGTGCAGCCTGTCAACATCAGTTGTCAAGTACTGAAGGCCAACGCTGGCTTAGGCTCTGGCAATCTAGCGTGACAGCACTGGGCAGTGGCTTCACTGTGACACGGAAAAACTGTGACAGCAAAGAAAATGGTGCAGCAGTGACTCAGGTGACCTGTCAACATCAGTTGTCAAGTGCTGAAGGACAACACCGGCTTAGGCTCTGGCAATCTAGCATGACAGCACTGGGCAGTGGCTTCACTGTGACACGGAAAAACTGTGACAGCAAAGAAAAACTGTCACAAAAGTAGGAACCTGCAAAGGGATCTAGAGAAGAGGGGACTAAGAACAGGGGGACTGAGGTGCTGTGGTGGCAACAAGCATGGAATCGAGAGGGAGCAGTGGCACACAGGAGATGCAAGTGGTTCTTCAGAAGCTCACCCAGTCGGTGTCCGCTGCTGGAGGAGCAAGAAGAAAGCTCTTGTGCATTAAATGCTTCAGTACAGGCTCTTCCTGAGGTCTGGCTTCCTAATAAATGCTTTGTACCAAATTTATTGCCTACAACAGTCAGACCTGGAATCCTTTCCAGAAGAAAAGAACAAAAAACTCCAGGTCTGTTTTTTAATCTTAACAAATCCCATCCCCTGAGAGCAAGTTCTTGTGGCAAAACCAGAGTATGAGGTTACTGGTGGGGATTTCTCCTGTTGTACAGCTGCAAATGAGAGCCTGACAAGAAATTCTCATGCGCCAAGAATGCAAAATATAAGTCCTAAGAACACTTTGCAGATGCATTTTTCTGACCCAAAAGTTTTATTTTCAAAGACTGAATTAAATGCGTATTTAGAAAAAAAAATGTTTAAAAGGTCAACAGTTTAAAAGTGTTTAAGAGGTTGAAAGTCCCAAGAACTGAATGAATTCATAAACCCTGCTAAAGAAATTGGGGCTTCAGAGACTTGACAGAATCTTGAAAAGGCTGGAATTCTTGTTTTCAAAGTCTGATTTGAATTTTAGTTTATAATTCTATTGATTTTGTCCCATATTTCTAGGGCAATGAAGGATTTTTGGTGAAATGTTTCATGTAAAATCCCTCAGACACTATAATTTTAGAGTTTGATTCAGTAAGAAGAGTTTTCTAAAGGTATGTAATGTCTGAGTGATGGTTTTATCGACTCAGGTGATAAACAAGCTGCTTCTTGAATGGAACTCTCTGTCCTCCTGAAAGGAGAGGCTGAAGTGTGTCAACTCCGTTAATCCCGTAACAGAAGCAACAAAGGAGCTTGCACAGCACAGACATGTCAGGGAATGTCCTGCAGGAAAGCTCTGCGGATGCATGACAAACCAAGCAGCTTATGCACCACAAGCACGACGCTGAGTCCTGTGCGAAGGATGAAACTGTGTCTCAAGTCACTGGATAACAAATCTTAGAGTGAAGACAGCGAGAACAGAGTAAGGGCATAAGCTTGAAATAGCCCTTTTTTAAATTCTGGCAGGAGATGAGTTTCAATGTCCTTGTATAGACTGTAAGGAGAACATTTTGTAGACTGAGGTTCACGTTGGAGCTGCAGAACAGAGCTGAAGGTTGAACGCACAGAGCACACAGATCACTGCCAGCACACAGAGCACGGATTTGAGATGTTCCTTTAAGCTTCTAGGATTATGAATTGGGAAGCACTCCAAACATTGTGCATTTAGAGAAATGAAACTGATTTTCTTCTAAATGCTAGACAGCACGTAGCTAAAATGCAGACATAAAAATCGCAGAGGATGACTGTATGTAGACATAGCCCAAGACCTAGACCTGAACTAAGGACAGATGCTTTCCACATACTTCCATTAGATTCATCAAAGCACTTTCAATTTCTAAACTTTTACTAATGTAAATACCAAGTGTTACCGAATTTTTCACCAAAGCAAGCTTTGCCTTACCCAGTCTATAATAAAATGCTGTAACACACGTAGGTGTTGGTACAGTAGTCTTCAGCGTGGAGAACAAACCCACAAAATCCATATAAATAAATACCACTAGTGAGCAAATTGTGAACACACAAGCAGTTGCCAGCAGTCTGCTCTCAGTGTGGAGGTGCAGCCAGAGTTCCCATTGCTCTCCCCAGAAGAGTCGACGTTCGTGGGTAAGCTCTCAAGAAGCAAGGGGTTTTCTCTTTAGGAACATACCTGTGACGCCCAGCAACTGCAGCAAGCTGCAAATAACTTATCTCTAACACCGCCTCCCGAGTCCACAGGGCTCCACTGCAGCCCCCTTCCTTCCATCCTCTAGTGAGGTGACAATATCGCTGACAATTTCTGGTAAAATGTGAGGAATTCCTTACAAGCCGTTGTTTAACATGAGAGAACAAACAGCACAGTGGATGCAGGCAGGGGTAAGGCTCAGGTCTGCAAGGGCGAACTCTGCACGTACAAGCTGTTGATGACAAGGCACACACGCAAAGGTCTGAGCTTGATGGTTTACAGAAAATCGAAAAAGCCACAGAATCCCCACCGCTGTGGAATTCTGACTTACGGGATTAGGATGGAATCTGTGTCGGCTGATTATTTTTGGTTTCCCAATGGTAAATACTCTAGAGGAAAGAAACAGCTTTGTATCTGCCACCTGGCTTTTGTAAGTGTTCATCTGATAACAATCTAGAATGCTGTGCAGTGCCTGCTCCCCTTGGGATGCCTTTGGAATCCCCTTGTCCCTGGAGCTCTAGGCTCTGTGTTTATCGGAATCCTAACCCTAATAGCTTTGGCCTGAGGCTGAAAAACGCATGAGGCACTTTAAGCAGTAAAGTGTATTTCACCAACAAGCTTCCAAAAGTCATAATGACTGAGTCAAAGAGACTGAACGAAAAACCCCGAGTTTCCTGTTAAAGTTTATGGTGTTTTCTAAAAGTGACTTTGCTGGATTTTTTTTTTTGATGGAATTTGATGATGCTTGTTCTGGGATCCCTCAGCCGAGCTGCCCCTTGCAGCAGGCACGCCTCGGGATAGTTACATTACAGGGGTCCTAAGGAAGCTTTTTTTATCTTAGGGAGAGTTTGTCTCGACTTGTTTCTGAGATCCGAACTCCCAGAGATACACGGACCTGGCGCACTGCACAGAACCATTAATCTGCCCCGCAGCAAAACTGAACAGCCGTGGCGAAGGGCCAGGTTCGGTTTGAAACATGTTTCCACGGATATGAGCAGCCTGGCTTTTCCAATGGCTGCAGCGTGAGTGGACACCCTCAGAACAGGCTGTGCAGCGGCACCACAGCCACAGCCTCCATGTTTCCTTCCTCCCAAGCACACATCTTTGCTAGCAAAAGGGCTGCCTGTTCCCCTGAGGCTGCATGAAGGTCCCACCTGTAAATTCCAGAAAACCCCTCGGTTTATTCCAACAGCTGCTATGAGCCCCAGTTTACCTGAAACCACCCAGCCCGAATTCTAAGCTCATTCTCTGCTGACAGGTACTGCACAAAACTGCGCTAAACCCACGCTCTCCCTATGTGGTTGTTAGCAAACATCATTTTTCTTTTACTTCAAGATAATTCTGGTGGTTCTGAAGTAGAGACCCGAGAAAGTCCCTCCCATCTTCGCTTCGTCCCTGCTTTTTTCCCTCCTCCCAACCCTCCGTTTCCTTCGAGCACTGTGCTCCTCAGCACCAGCTTATCGGCACCCGCAGTGGTGGCTTCAGCACAAGAACGTCACCTTGCTCTGCAGAGAGAACGGGGCCGTTTCTGCAAACTCTGCGCAGTTGCCACACTCCGCACACACATTATCCCCAGTGACACACCCCAGCAGGGTAAATACGCAGTTAATACTTCCTTAAAAGTCTCCCAAATCTGCTTTCCCATAACTACCAGTTTGA